ATTGCCCAACCTTCCTTCCGAGGAGTGGCTGGTGGGTTTGAACCTCCAGCCTTCTGGTTAGCAGTCAAGTGCCTTAGCCACTATGCTACCAAGAGCTCCCTTTTGGTGATATATACATGCTAAAATTAGTATATTAAGATTGATTGGCACAGACCAGCCTTTCTGCCACAATGAGTTCCTATTAAGTTGATTCCAACTATAAACCCAGCTATAAAACCAGCTAAAATATACAAGGCATGGGGCAGTCATTTCCAAGCATTGGACAGGAAGAGACAGTGTAACACTGTGATTGCTGAGATAAAAGAAACTCATGAAAAAAAACTGCATGAGTTTGTAGCATTCTGCCTGAGAACAAATTTGTGACCACATTTCTGTGAACTGGAAAGCAGGCAGAACATGGCAGAGCATTGAGATGAATGGGCAGCTTAAGCAACTAGAGCAGAGATGAGGGAACTATGCAGTTGAGGTGGTGGGTAAACATCCAAGTGGAGGTCCTTGGGGAACCCTTGTCTGAGGATAAGACTACCCAATGTTTACTAGAAAGCAGACGCTACAAGGTTCAAAGTGGAACAAATAGTGGAGAGGTCAAGCAGTGCTGAGGGATGTTGAATGTGCTACCCAACCAGAGTGGGGTGGTTACATTAACACCTTTTTAACACCTGAGGCATATATAGCTGAGACACCAAAAAGGCCACACCTTAGGAGTAAGGACCACACCTTAGAGTAAGGCTAATTCTAAACTTGCCCTAACAAAGCCTAAAACCAAGCTCTGACAAGATCCCTACAAGAGATAGAATTTGAAGGTTGAATCCTGCCAAGTTACCAGGCTTGGAAAATACTTTGGGCTTTCTACAGATTCACTGTAACAAAACAAAAACTAAGACTACACAAGTTTCAAGATTATCAGCCAGTATTTGAATTGCCTACCAGAACAAAAATCAACACTTCTTAAAGGAAAACAGAATTCAGAGTCTCACCGACATACCACACACAGTATTCAGTATAAAATCTACAATTACCAGACACAGAAATAGACGAGAAAATCTGGCAAGAAAAAATGATGTTGATAGAAACTGATCCTGAGATACTTCAGATACTGGATTTATTAAAGACTTTAAAACAGCTGTTATAAATATTTCAATCCTACCTTCAAAACATTAAATGAAAATGCATCCAAACAATTTAAAGAAAAATTTGGTCTTAAAATGTGAACAGATATG